TCAGATGTCAATCACAATACTTCAGATATTAGAGTAGATGATTCACATTAAATAAGTATTTCTCTAGTACTTTTGTGAAGTTTCAAGTTTCTTTTAAAGACTGTCTTACAGTTAGTCTCACAATAAAGTGAAAAGCCCAAACACTTGTGCCTGACACTTTAAGAAAATCATCACAGTTACATAGAAGCCCAGATTCTGTAGTGGATTGTACAACATTAGCTAAGGCTTAATTCCCTATCTTTGCTATATATAGGAAGAAACTTTACCTCTCCAAGGCATTTCAAAATCATTTGGGGTTTCTTTATGTTTTTTATTTGAGTAACTCTTAGTACAACTTGTATTTAATTAATTTGAAAAGGATTGTAAAATAACATTCCTTTCACAGGAAAACTTAAGGGTTGTAGTTGACTACAAATGTAGCATATGTAAGCAATTTAGTTAAAACAAAAAGCAAGTTGTATTAATAGAAGTACAAAACTATATAGTATCCAGAACAAAGTGTGTGTGTGTGTGTGTGTGTGTGTGTGTGTGTGTGTGTGTGTGATGGTCTTGCTCTCTATTCCGTGTGTGTGTGTGTGTGTGTGTGTGTGTGTGTGTGTGTGATGGTCTTGCTCTCTCTTCTGTGTAAGACCATTTCTAGAATGATGTACTGAGTTCTGAGTGCCACATTTTAAAAGACATGACTGACCAATGTGTGCCCAGAGAAGAGGGACCATAGTATTAAGAGACTCCAAATTATCATTTGAAAAATGAGTGGTTTACTGAATAGAAGGCTTGATAGTGGCACAAAGGGTTGTCATGTAGAAGACCTATGAAATTTTTTCCTGTGTAATTGGAGACAGAAGAAATAAGACTGATGGGCGAAATAAGGGGAAGGTTAATTTGGGTTCAGAAAGCATTGATTCAGTAACCACACAGTGAGTTTCTTTTCTTTGCTCTCCTCAATGCAAATTAAGTAGCAAAAGTACTTGACTTTAAGAAGCTTTCAGTAGGGTTAGTGCCTCATCAGATTCTTTGGTGGAGTTGTTGTACATAAATGCATGGATTTGTATTTGTCCTTATATTTAAGAATGCCCACCCTGCTTGTTTTCTAGCTGTATGCACCTGTATTTACATATGTACACACATATACATATACACTCAGAATAGATTTTAAGAGAGATGTTGAGTTAGCTGCCACTAATCACCCATACATACAAGACATGTATAGACCCATAAGAATAAATAATAATAGGATCTCATTCATTTAAGATTAAAGTGTATTAAATTGGCCTTATCTTGAATGTTAATGTGATTAAAATATCCCCATGCATTACCTGCATTAAAGGATTCAACAAATACATAGAATTCAAAAAGTTTGAGATTTTAAACTCTATGCAATGTATATATATATTTTTTTAACTTGGTAATTTATTTTTTAGAATGAAGTCCCAAAATATAGAAGGAAAAAATTCTCTCCTTGAAATAAAAGGATTATTAGATTGGATAGCTGAAAAAAATAAAAAAATATATATTTTTATTAAAATTTCCTGAAACATTTAATGGACTTCCAACAGTTTAAGAACCATAAAAAAATTCAATTTCTAATGATTATGGCTGAGTCAAGCAGAACTACAGTCAATAATATAGAAGTTTGCCTTAGTAATACACAAAATCAAAATCAGATTTACTTTTTTCTGCCTGTTTTATTGGTTTTAGTCCTAGAATCTTGGCATTCCACTTCTGATATTTATTTTAGTTATTTTATGCAATATTCAACCTAGGTAAATTTTCTCTTAATAAATATGAATGAATTAATGGGGAAGTATTGATGTATTTCCAAGTAGACACTAAATTCATACAGAATGTTATACTCCTAGAAAATATGTTCTAAGTAAAATGATAGGTCAATCTTTTAATATACAAATGTAATAATAGGATCTCAGATGTTTTAATCAAAGGCTGAATGCCTGTTAAAAAATAAGCACCACAAAATAGTATATAACTTTCTACTTTCTGGGTTGAATGCTAGTTATTTGCAACTTTTTTTGTCTACCTGCTTGCTTTATCTTTATGTGCTTGGTCTCATTATTACTAGGTTTACAAACTATAGCCCTAGGGAATGTGATTTTTTAAAATCAGATGTCCTTCAGACAACACATATTTCCTACATAATAAGAAATACATTGTTTCCAATGTCAAAAGAATCAAGAAAACAAATAATAATTTATAGTTTATGCCTAGCTATGCTTATTCCTGAAAAATATGCAGTTATTACAAGGAGGTAAAATTAAATCCTGTGATCAGTTTTTCAGAAAGCAACCAGTTGACCCTAACCTTCACCTATCTTTGTCCCAAAAACTTCTCAAGGAGGTTATTTTGAATTTTGGAAAGGGTACTTTTGGATTCTTCTGTGAAATTAAAGACATGTTATGTATTATAGCAATAATCCAGGCAATGATACTATCAGCAGCAGTGTTAGATTTCTCCTGTTTTATGTTACACAGCTTTGTTAACTTGCCTTCCTATAGTTTGAATTTGTACCTGAAAAGGAACACAAGTCCTTTCATAGAAAAACCTATGATAGAAAAAAATATCCCCCAGAAACAAGTTTTGAAAGTTATGGTTTCTATGGGAATCATTTATTGTGATTTTCTTTCAATAATGAACTGAAGTATTGATTGGAAGCCAAAGAAGAAGCATCTTATTTCTTCCTTGGACTAAAATTGTCAGTAAGGAGTGACAGCAGGAGTTCAGAAAAAGCAACTAATGTATACCTTCCAGTAATTTTAGGAGGATATTTATTTCATGAATAGAATTAAATTTGCCCTCAAACTGCTTGTGGCACATAGAACTTTAAACCTGGGTGTCAGAGGGAGCATAAAGAAAGGCTTCTTCTGTTGACATAAGTTAGGTTTTAGATAAACACATTTCCCACAAGATAATCAGTGATGTCCATTGAATTATCATTGAGTCTAGAATTATGTTTATAAAACATATTTAGTCAAGAAAGAGCAGAGGCCAGTTAATGTTGGCCACAGGAAAACACAGTACTTTAATTACAACAATCATAAAACTTGTGTCCATTAAAGACATATTCTCAATATCACAGCTTTAGAGACTTTTGGTACCAGTTAACAGCGTGTGTGGGTGTAACACTAACCTGACATATGGCAGAGTAGGATTTTGGGTGCCAGTACTTAGAGCACCTGGTGCATGAGTGGGCTGTGAGTAAAGAAAAAGAGAAGATACTGTCACCACTTTTTTTCCAAAAAAAGTATTTTTGGCAGTGTATACCATATTGGCTTACTTTAGTGGATAATATCCCATATCTCGTGACTGTGTGTAACTTGTAATATGATATAAAACATTATATTGGATTAACTGATGAAAATAATCTGCTCCTTATGGACAAGTGGACATACTTCTGTGATGAGTAACAGGAGCTCCATTTCCATAGACTGTTCCCTGACACCAAATACTTCATGTATTTTCACTATTACTTTATCAAATGATATTGGACATTTCTAACAGATTTGTGTGATATATGAGGTCTAGAACTATAACAATTCGTTTAATGATAGAAATGTATTTTTATATAGATAAGTAGGTTTTATTTTGTTGATTCTTTAACATTTAATTACATTTAGCAGCAAAGTTTTACTTTAGTATATACTGTGATGATAGCTGTTATACTGTTGAATACTTTGATAATTTAATCTAATCTAAGAAAAACCTCAGTATTTAAAATAATTCGTGTACATGTATGTAGCAGTACATCTCTGGTAAGAACCACTAAAACTTTCTTTCAAATGTGTTAATTAGTGAAATAATGAAAATCTCCTTAGATTTAGACAGAATGTATTATTTCTATTTTAAAGTTTAAAGATGTGATTTTTTTATTCATAGATTTTGAATTTTGCTTAAAGAATTCAAATAAATGATAGCTAAAATGATTCTAGGAAATGTTTAAAAACTGCTATCTTATAAATTAGTTATAAATATTTGATATAAATAAAGCAGGTCCATGAAATTATTAGTGTGTTTTGAGCTGTCTAAACCTGGAAACTCAGAAGCCAAAGTAAATTCCTATAAGCAGGAAAATTCCTAAAACTCCATTGAGAATATGCACATCCTTCCAGGAGCATCTCATTCTAGCCTGTGTGCTGTTTACAAACCAGACTTATCAAAGAGATGACCCCAGAATTCCAGCAATGGAAACTGATAGGCATCTGCCTTTTTACCCAAGACAGAAACCAGATGAATAGAAAGAACTAAAAAATCTTCCAAGTAATTGGTTTATATTAAATGACATTGGGTTTGTATTCAAAATTGATCTAACAGCAATCAGCAGCTATGGGTAAGAAAGTAAACATTCTTTACATATATGAGAATGTATACACACATACATATTTACATAATATGTATAGTGAGAGAGAAAAAATTTTGATTTTAGGCAAGAAGTCACTTAAAGCCAGAATTAAATCTTTTTCCAAAGAAAGTGTAGGGAGGGAGCTAGGTATGCAGAGTTGAAGTGTATGAGCTCAAATTCCAGTTCTACCGCCTACTTACTATGCAGTGACCTGTAAGAAGGTCATTGAGGCAGTATTATCCGCCTGATAGTTTTGTTGTCAGAACAGTTCCTGGCCCATAGGAAGCACTATGTCAGACTTTAATATAATTCCCAGAGGTTTCAAAAAGAGAAAATGTAATGAGATACTAAATAACGTATGTGGAAAAACATAGGCTGTAGGGGACCTCAGTCCCAACCTCAGGTAAGGCAGGTGACCTCTGGCATGTTACCAAACTTCTCAGAGCCTCCATTTCCCTATTTTAAAAATTGAGGTGACAGTCCTGAATTTGGGAGATAAGGGATAGATGGAAAACCCTTGCACATGATAGATATTCAGTATTGGGCTATTTTTCCCCACAACACTAGAGCTGTTTGTTAAAGACCACAAAAACATCTGTGTTCATATGTCTTAATGGATAATAAACATTATTCTGTGTACTGCTTTCAGGGTGAAAATCGTTTACATGGTGCTCCAGGATTACCTGGTCAAAAGGTAAAGAGTTCTTGAATGTTTCTTCTGAGTTAAGAATTTTAACACGTTGAAAAATAAATTTGCACATAGTTTTCTGAAAATATATTTGATTAGGCTGAATTTCCTCACAGACTTTTAGAAAGCTATGGATGTCTTTTCAAAGAGAACTCGTGGAAGCAATCCCCTCTTGAAGAGACCATTCTAGGAGGAAGCTTTGTCACAGAGCTTTAGTAACATACTTCTCCAAAGTCAGTAATAGTGCTTTCTAGGGGATATGGAAGTGTACATAGCTGCCCTGGAAATGTTTCCAATTTTATTAGTCAGAGTCCAAAATGTACAATAGAACAAATTGTACTTCCTTTGGCTGGTTTTGGTTACCTCTTGCTTATCTACCTTTTTGTATCTCCCAGATAAAGCTAAACATAATAGTTACAATGACATAAAATACTAAATATTAGAAAGATGCTGAAGACAACTATATCTTCAAAAATATTTTTCTTTCAGAAGAAGGCATTCCTAATAAGTAAGGAGCTTTGCATGGACCAGGCTGCCTCTTTCTATGCCTATTATCTTTCTCTTTACCAAGGCGAACTTCCTTTGTGCCCCTCTACTGTCCAAGGGCTGCTTTCTTCTTCTGGGAAGAAGCCTGGCTATCTGTGACCAGCATTACTAAAAACACAGAGACCATTACATTCCAGTTTCTTGAAGGGATGGGGAGCCACTTCAGGTGGGGCCAGCTGTCATGATACCATCCAGATAATCTCACCACAGGAGAGAGAGCATTATTGATGTAATATTAGATGCCCACCAAAGCCAAGCATATCATTTCTATGCTCTGGGGATGTTTTATAGGTTTTGGCAACAAGATGTCAGAAGTTATTATGCATGTAGGCTTTTCTATGTAGCTGAAAATGTCATTTAAAAAGATAGGTACTTATTTATAGTTACATATTGTGTTAAAAATTTATTTACTTGGCCCAAAAAAGATAATAAGATTGAACTGGCAGCAATAAAATGGCAGGCTTCTGAATTTCTTCACAGCAGCTCTAGACAAAACCCATTGATACAGCATGTGCTCCATCTGCGAGTCAAGTTGCAAGCCAAGGGATGTGCAGATTTATCTGCTGGGAAATAGTTTTGGACTTTCCAGCAGCTGTTTGTGGTGGCTGCATCATGCTGACATTGTGGCGATGTACTGGAGGCGTTTAGCAGCTTCAGTGTCAGCTTGAATTAACAGATCAAGTTAAAGTTTATATTTTAGGAAAAAAGGTGGAAAAAATGTAGACCATGCATTCAGTAATAAAAAACAATACCTAACAACTAGCATATATTCTTTCTTGGTGACTTTTTGGGTAGATGAAGCAAAAATAATTATTTAATTATATGCATGTGACACACACACACTTACAAATGTATTGTTTAATCATCAAATTATATTATCTAATACTATTTAATTACATAATAATTTACATATATGCAATTATGTGGAGATATATATATATAAAATAACATACTCACAAACTAAATATGTATCTATGCATGTAGATTTCTACATATATATATATAGTAAAAAGCTGGCATTCCCTTTCATATAATTAATAGGAATTTTATATACCAAGGGTCATCTTGTTGAGGCACTACAGAAAATACTACAGATCAGAAAACCTCTATCTCTTGTCTCTGTACACTCAAGAAATGCTTGCTAAATGCTTCTTATGCTCAAGGCCCGCCATGGGTAGAGAGATGTACATGACCCATCCCCAACATTCACTTTCTGGCTATGTTGTCATGAGTGCCTGACATGTACAAGGCACTCAATGAACTTTTGTTGAATGTATGAATGAAACATCAGTTAAGGAGGGAAATAAGCTTGTCAGATCAGAGAGAGTGTAGATGAAGAAAGGGAGACTTATACCTTTTAGAATAAATTTGGTAATTGAGAGCCAGCAGCTGTCCAAGCACCAATCCTCTTTCTGTGACTGAGCCAGGATAGTGGATAGGAAAAAGCATAGCACTGGTGTTGAAGGTAGAGCCAGTACCCAAGGGTTCAAACCTGAACTCATTCATCATGAGACACTCATCAGAATGGTATTCCATAGAAGTCAGCTTTCTAAGAAGGCTGTTTCCACTAAATCTAGTAAAAGAAATAATAATAATAATGGCTAACTCAGTCTTTGCCAGGCACTATGAGGATGCATCAAATTCACAAAACAAGCCATTGAGGAAAATAGTATTATCATGCTTATTTTATTCCTGAGAAAATTCAGGCTTATCAAGGTTAAATTGCCTTGGAAATTGTGAAGCTGTAGCTTATACCCTAGAAAATCATTCCTTTAGAATTTAGAAACATTTAAATCTTATGTAACAATATTGGTTTAGAGCTTACATGTTAGAAGTGGTTATTTATAATTACTGATTTTTCATTGTTAGAAACATCATTTTTATTGTAAAAATTGCACATGTTATAGTATTATTTTTATTACTATACACATATTACTATTCTACAGGGAGAGCAAGGTTTTGAAGGCAGCAAAGGAGAAACTGGTGAAAAGGTAAGTATCTCTTTTTACAGTCACATATGTAAAAGTAAATTGTGTTCTTGAAAATGTTTTGAAATAGAATATTTAACTTGTTTTGTGCATTCCCTAAAGCACTTCAATAATTTTATAGACATAACTAAAACATTTGCTTCAGTTAAGGTAGAATAAATGTATTAATGATTGCCAGAAACCTTTCTAAACTTATTTGGATGGTATTAATAGTTAAATATTTCTAGTTAAATTTGTTTTATTGATATGGAAATGATTTAAACATTGATAAAACGTTAGATTTTTATATTATGAAATTGTTTACTTACTAAGTATCCAATTATTTAAATAAATGCTTTGTTTATATGTATACCTGTTTTATCAGTGGAATTTTTTTCCTGAAGGAATAAATAAGAACAACTAATTGTCAAAGTCAGGATCCCACAGAAAAGAGATGCCATACTAAAACTGGGATACCTTAAAAGAGTTTAATAAAGGCATGATTTAAAAAGTGTGGGCAAGGTATAAGAAAACCACAAGCATTGTACAGTATCCCAGTTCAGATTACAGCAGACTCCTTAAAACCCCACATGATTACCAGACCCAGAGGCAGAGAAAACTGTGTGGTGAAGGCTAGAGACAGGAGCTGAGGGTAGCACTCAAACCAAGGTAGACACATAAAGGAGGAGCCAGGGCAATAAATTACTCCATCCCTCTATCTTCTAGCCCTCAACTGGTATAGACCCCACCTGCCAAACCAAATTGAGAGCCAGTGGGATGGAGGAATCCTGTAAGGCTCAGCCTCCTGAAGTCCAGAGTAGGTGGATAAGAGTGGACAGTGGATCTTGAGGGACCAAAGGCGGAAGCCATCCCGCTAATCTAAGTGCTGTCATTTAAAGTCACCTACTTAGAAAACTAAATTCTAGGTGGTTAATTTTAATAGAGTATTCTATGAGTATTTTAATAGAGTATTCTAATGTTAAGAGTATTCTATTTTAGTAAATAACTACTGAAAGTCATTTGATAGTGAAAATATTTAAGCAATCATTGTTTTAGACATTTACAGCTTTCTATTGAAAGTACAGAGAATAGGGCCGGGTGCGGTGGCTCAAGCCTGTAATCCCAGCACTGTGGGAGGCCGAGGCGGGTGGATCAGGAGGTCAAGAGATCGAGACCATCCTGGTCAACATGGTGAAACCCCGTCTCTACTAAAAATACAAAAAATTAGCTGGGCATGGTGGCGCGTGCCTGTATTCCCAGCGA